CCTAGAGCACAACCTAGAGCACAACCTAGAGCACAACTCATGAAGGTATATATTTTCATAGAAAAAATGGCACTCAACCTTTCCAAATCAAAAAAGAATCAATACTTTCGTTATTTTCGAACGCGAATGCGTGCCAGACTACCATGAAATGAGTTGTGCTCTACGTTGTGCTCTAGGTTGTGCTCTAGGTTGTGCTCTAGTTGTGCTCTAGTTGTGCTCTAAGGCGGCCCCTGGGATAAGCGGTCGCCTGCCCTCCCCGCCCCCGGACCTTCAATCCGACGGAATTGGCTTTCCTCCGCGTTTGGTAGAAGTGGCATAACGCACCGCCAACAAGTCGCGAAGGCAAGCGCTGTTGGTCGCAGCACCGGCCGCGAGCTCCACGTTGCAAGCGCCGGGCAACGCGCCCTGCCGCCTCCTCCGCCGCGGGCCAGACGCGCGGGCAACGCGTTGCGCGATGTTCTGGACACACGTGCAAACGACATGAAGCCGCAATGATACGCAGGCTGTGTCCCGCGCGGGCCTGCAGCCAGGCCCGCGAATTCAGACGGACCCAGTCCGCGGGGAGTACCTCGTCCACGGCAACCGCACCCATCGCGCGGACATCCGCCAGCAAGGCGCCTGCCTGCGCGCGGGGTATGCGCGCGTCGGACGTGAGGTCGTCGAAGCCGCTCACAGGCGGCACGCCCGCGTCTGCCCCGACCGGCGCAGCGGGCGCCGGGCGGAAAACGCCGACGGCGTCGAACTTTGCCGCCTCCCGGACGATCCACGCGGTCATGCGCGGAGCACACGAGAGTACGTCCTGCAAAGAGCCGTCCGACAAGACGGAGGTGAATGGGAACTGCCTCGCGCGGTTCTGCATGTGCCGGATGTCCTCCGCACCCACCTTATTCGTCGTCCCCCAGAGGCCCTCCAGCTTGCCCGTGAAAACGGCGCCGCGGTTCCAGCAGACGTCCTTGTTCCCGTCGTTGAAGGACTGGGAAACCTGGATCTCGGCGTGCTGGCCGACGAACAGAGACAAGAACAAAGAGACGGGGACGGTCTTCTCGTGGGCGAACTCAACCGGCCGGAAGTCGTCCCAGAAGATGAACCGCTTCGTGCCGCTGGCCAGGTTCCGGAGTCCAAAGGAGGAGCCCAAGGCAGGATTGTGCAGAACCCGTTTCGGAGTGAACAAGTCGTCGAAAGGGTAAACCACCGTGCTCTTCCCGGAATTCGACGGCCCCACCAGGAAGGGCACCCTCGTCGTCTTCTTCGGGCCGACCATCAGAATGTCCCGCAGAGACGCCGCGAGCTCCCGAACGTCGAAAGAAGCGGCGCTGCGGGAGAAGATGGTCTCCACGGCTGACCTGCACGAGCACGCCGGGCCACGGGGACATGTCTCCTCAGCGCAGCGGCACACGAGCGTCCAATCGTCCACCGCCTCGAAGGCCGCGTTCTCGCGGGCAGACGCCCACTCCTTCGTTTCCTCAAGGTCCGCCGTCAGCTTGCGCACTCGGCGGCGGACGAACCGCTGCATGGTCTTCGTCCCGCGGTCCTGGACGTGCGCCATCAGACGCGCGGGCAACGCGTGGCACGATGTTCTGGACACACGTGCAAACGACATGAAGCCGCAATGATACGCAGGCTGTGTCCCGCGCGGGCCTGCATTAAGGCAAACGCGCGTAAAGCGCAGGAGTCGCGAGCACCGTGGGGCCCTCGCCATGGGCAGCCGAGCACCTCCCGAAAGGCAGGGATGGAACAGTAGCAGCACGGCTACGATTTTCAAGTCTACGGATCCACGACACGTTTCTCGGTGCATGCGCTGCGGCAGGAATTCTGAAATCTCTCGGCGGTCACTGAGGAAAAATCCGCTCTGGCAGAGGCCGAGCCGCCGATTCGGCTGGCTCCCCGGCCGCGGCTGGAAAAATTGCGTCGCGGCAAAGACCGTGCCGCCGACTCGGCTGATCAGCGCCAATGCTCCCGGGCCGCAGGCTCAATCGCTCGGGATCCTGCCTCCCTCGGCCACGACGACCTCCGCCGCCTTCGTCTTCATCTTAGCCACGGCTGCCCTGATGACGCTCTTCGGGATGCCCATGGCGACGCGCCTGAGGCGCGCCTTGCAAGCGCTCTGAGACTCGTTGGCCGGCGCGCTCTGCTCTGCCATTCGCCGGTTGACCTCCGCCCAGAGGAAGTAGTCGAGGGGGTTCAAGTCCGGGGAATACTTGGGGAACTTGATGGGGGTGATCTTGAGACCCCGCCTGAGAGCGACCGAGCGGGGTCGACCGGGGCGCGAACGGCGGGCGATCAAGAGCGGGCGCCGACTGGCGGGGCGATCGCCAGACGGGGCCCGACTCGAACTCGCGGCCGCCGCGGTGGCGCGCCAACTAAGGGGGCCGATTGCAGTCAACGGCCTTCTTGCTCTTGTACCCCGTGGGGTCGTTATCCTCCAGGATGCGGAAGGCGCGGCGCCCCTTCCGGCAACGGCGAAGCGCGGGGGCGAGGACGCCCGCGTAGAAATCGCAGG